GGTGGCAACTTGGGAGGTAGGATGCTCCCAGCTTGCCCCTTCATTAAAAGCTTTACATCCTGCTATCACGGCTGATTAAGATGACCCATTGCCCCCAGGAGAACTTCTTTGATTGCCCCATATCTCCAGCTATGTCAATAAAGCAAGTTCACTAATTCAAAAGAAATGTTGGCAGCTCAGGCAACCAGTGAAAGTGGTTTTGGATTGTGTTCTCGGGCCCCTCCCCAGAATGACTGGGTGCAGGGTTACTGGGCTTTCCCCTCGGTCACCACTACCTCCTATTTTTCGCCTCTGACTAGGTCTTCTGTGGCCTAGTCCTCCAGCCGTCACTTAGAAGTTCAATCTCTTTGTGGGGTATCCAAATCCAGCTGTAGCTGGTCAGACCCCAAGCTGGTATCACCAAAGTCCCTTTACCAGCAGCAAAGTCTTTCCAAAGAATCACACTCTTCTTTAGCAGAGTAGCAGGTCCCAGGGCTTCTCTCTGGGCCTCTCACTATAACAAACAAAATTAAACCCTATCAAAACATCTTTCAACCCTCTCAGGGCTTGAGCCTCTCCTCTCTCTTGGGCTCCTCTTCAGCTCCTTATTTCTTGTGTGGATCACTGGCCCTGGAGCCCGGCCCCTTGTTCCAGGGGCACGTTAGAGCAGTTAGTTCCACTCCTGTGTCTCTGCGCTCCAGCCACAACCCAGCTCAACTGTTCCCCTCGGCAGCCAGCCCCAAGGTCCCTGCCAATCTGACTTGGGGGAAAATTCCTTTCCGACTCCACATATGGCTTTCAGTTATAGACCCTGAGATAGAGGATGGTGTCTCCTGGAGTCACAGGCAGGGTCCCAACGCCTGTGATGGCTTTACCAATCTCTTGAATCCAGTAACCTCTGGGTCCCCCACATGATCAAGCCCTTAATATGGTACACAACCTATTGTGCTGTATTTATAAAGCTTGATCTCAAAAGTTAGATTTTTCCCCGATTCTTTTTTTATATAGAAAAGCATCTTTTAGTGTCAAAGTTTCTGATAGCGGTTCATGGATTCAGTATATTTATTTTGTATTTAAATATTTTAAGAGATTGTAATATGTTTAGGACTTACCATCTTTTATACTAAATTCAGATTTCATTTTAAACAGGTTTATTTTTACAAAGAACAATTTCTTATAATTTAAATAAAAAAATCCAATTTAAATTTTAAAAAATCGGATTAAAATTAATTTTTGTTATCTGGTGAAAGGTCATGACCAACTATCATAAAATTAATAAATGACCAGGAATTTTTGTCAGACATGCAGAAGGAATTTTTTGTTTGAAAAAAATGTATTTCTCCCAAGACCTTGTGGGAGAGAGAACTCAGCAGTGCAGGAGAGAGGTTTGTTTTTTTTTATTTTGTTTTTAAAGTAATTCCTGATCTGTGTAATCCAACAAGAAATATTGTTCCCAGGATAGCTCTGGGTCAGGTGTAGAGAGGCACCTTTCATGATGAACTAGAGGTTCCTGATTTACCTGTGCAGGAGATCTGGAGAACTTGGGACTACCACAAATGGAGGGAAGTCAGAGGGGACCTCATCATAGAAGCATACACACCCTAAGCAGCCTGCTTGAGCAACATAAGGAAGCTTCAGTGAGGCCGAGAAGACCTGTTTTCAAACCACAAATGGAATGTCCCCTGGCTCAAGAAACACATTTATAATTTTACAATGAGAATAAAGATAGCTATAATCTGAGTTGGTGCTCACTCTGATTAGGTTGATTTACAGTAGATCCATATGTTTATAGATGATTATAGGATAGAGTAATATTAACACTTATTTGTTTTGTGGACTACCGTATGGCCCTGAGGATGTCAAATGGGCCATAGCTCTGTGCAGATTGGGCCGCAGGTTGAGGACCACTGGGTTAGGGCCTTGGGGGAATAGATGTATCCCCTGCTTATAGGCCAAGCTTAAGTTTTGTTTGCATTAGTTTCAAGACAAAGTGTTTTGGTTAAAGCATTAACTCTTGCTAGGGCAAGTACTTCTTTCTCTAAGCACTTGCCCGAAGTGGCAGAGCTGCTCTCTCCACCCTTTGCACTTTGTAGGTGAAATGAAGCCCCTTGCTCAAGTGCTCAGTGATTGCTCCAGCTTTGTGAGGCTCTGTCTTGGGTGGGCACAGGCAGGGCCGGCTCTGGCTTTCTGGCTGCCCCCAAGCAAAAAAAAACAAACAAAAAAACCACAAACAAACCTGCGGCGTGGCCGGAGCCAGGGTGCAGGGGGACTCCCTGCCCTGCAGATGTGCCCCGGCTAGCGGGAGGAGGGGGAGGGAGTGGGGAGAGAGAGAAGGGGGATGGCCAGGGCTTCAGCGGGGGGCTGCCACGCGGCCCCTCCTGCCGGGAGGGCTCCGCGCCACTCCGATCGGCTGGGAGGGAAGGACGTGGGCTGCCCTGCCGGGCTTGCTGCAGGGCACTCCCGTCCTCCACACCGCTGCCCCCGACAGGGCGGCCGGAGTGGAACAACAACAACAAAAGCGGCCGTGCCGCCCTAGGATTGGGCAGAATGCCGCCTCCTACAAGCTGCTGCCCCAAGCACCAGCTTGCTCGGCTGGTGCCTGGAGCCGGCCCTCGGCACAGGTGAATGGATAGTGCAATATGTAGGTGGCCCTCTGATCTCTAGTATGCAATCAACAGTTTTGTTGGCTGGCTGGATTTTTAAAAAATACAACCAATATGGTGAGTTGGTGGGGTTCAAACTGAGCTCTGATGATAACCAAAGCTCTAACACTGGCCATCCAAAATAAAATGCTATAGGCTTGCCTACGTGGAGGCACTCAGGAAAATTAATCCAAATGAACTGAAGTTGTGAATTTAAAGTGAATTAGTTACACCACATTAAAACCCATTAATTCAATTTATCTTAATTCACAAACTAAATCGAATTAAGGGCACTTTAATTCTGAGTTTGGATGAACTTTCTTGATTTTCCCCATGTAGACAAGCCTTGACCTGATTAAACTGGGATCTGTTCACCTTAAATTGCCAAAAGACAATAGCCTACACAATAGCAAGAGTGATTCATTTTTAACCCTCTGCATGCCTGCTATCTCCAGGCAAACTTCATTCTCTGTTCCCTCTGGCCTCACAGATCATAGACCTCTAACATAACACCCAATGAAATCACGGGGAGTCTTTCCACTGAATTTGATGGAGGATGGATTGAGAATTTTGGCTGGATCCCTTACAGAAGGGAAACAGTCTATGGAAGAAATCAAAAGAAAGTTTAACATAAGAGCTCTGCCTTTTCTACCATCCTTACAGATTTTGCTATTTTATGGTGATTGCGGGAAAAACATTTAATGCAGCTGCCTACTGAGCTAGAACAGATTTTCCTCTAGAAAACAACAGGGAAAGGGATCGCAGCATCCTGTTACAATGCACATTGACATTGGAATAAGAATAAAAAAAGACAAAACCAAACCACCAATGACAATTGACTCAAATCAACACTGACACACACAATAGCCTGGGAGAAAGAAATACAAACAGATGAACCAGAAGAGTTCTGGGAAAGAAACAATTCAACCACACCTTCGATCTGAATACCTACCCTGATATTCTACATTGGGCTTGCTTGCTGTTCATCGGAGAACTTGTACAAAAGAGAGAGAACAAAGTTATCCCTTTTGTGGGAGCACCTACAGAGAGAGGTGATTTGGGGCATAAGTGTTGTGAGAGATGGTTCAGCTGTGCCCCCAGAAGATGCAGGAGGGGACCATCTTTCTTGTTGCCTGAGAGAGAAGGGTCTAATTCAAAGCCCATTGAAGTCAATGGGAGTCTTTCCAGTTATTTTAATAGGCTTTGGATCAGGCCCTAAAACCAAAGCCCTGATTGCTTGTAGTTTATAGCACTTCTTGCAAGAGATAGGAGGGGTGTTGACCTTCGTGTCTTGGCTACATTGTAATTTGGCTAATTACATTCTTCCTATTGAACTAGTCCTTATTGCCTCTCTTTTTGTAAATAACCCAGTGAACTCTCGTGCAGTGTTGTTAGCTAAGACTGACTTCCTTCTTTTTCCTACCCTGTTTTTCACTGCCTCCCTGAGTGCTAAAAGCGAAAGGTGGTATGAAATGGGCGGTGTTATCATTAATAATCATTATTATTTCCTTCCTCATTAACTTCTCCTTTAGCTTGTCTCTACATCAAGCTGTAATGAAGCCTTTTGAATGAATGTGAATGGTATCGGTGATTGCATAGAGCTAGGCTTTTAGATTAAAGGTGGCATTGACAGACATATGATGTGACTTCCTTAGAACACTCAGACATGTCCTTGACAGTGATTGCAATGTAGTTCAAATGGACTTCATGATCTCTGACAGGGACTAAAATCTCTCTCCTGTTTCCTCTTTTAGTAACTCTTTATTGTAACAGTTTCAAGTAAGTTTTTTCATGAATTTGTTTTTAAGGGTTTGAATCTTAATATTAAGCCTCAGAGCCAAGTAATACTATAATACATTGCCAGTCTGTATGTTTAGCATTGCCCTCTAGTGGTTGGAATCAGAACTGCCACACTGTGTCATAGCTTCTAAACTGCTAACAGCAAATGGAGAGCTTCCTTTAGCTCCAGTAGTTGGAGTCTCCTCTGTGGCATCTGATCTCCTGTCGCTGTTTGGAGAGCTCTTATAGCCACAAAGTCTTGTAGGTTGCTCTAAGGGAAAAATCAGAATCCTTACAAGGTCCTTGGAATTCCCACACATGTGACTCTAAACACCAGTGGGTGCTTTGACCATCCTCTAGAATTTAGGAGACCCTGTACACGGCAGCTCTAGAACCCAGCTGTATCTAGACATTCTGTCCTAGAGCATGCTTATCTGCATACCCCATGTTTAATTTTTCTCACTGTCACCGTTCATGCTGGTTAGGTCAGCCTTTTGGCCTCTGGAACCCAGCTCTCTCTCCTCACTTTCTGGAATCTGTGTAGCTGCCTGACATGTTGACCTTTTCGCCTCCTCAGCTGTGTTTGTCTCTTCCTTGCAGGTGTGGATGGACGCAGGCACGCAGATCTTCTTCTCTTACGCCATTTGCCTGGGGTGCCTGACAGCCTTGGGTAGCTACAACAAGTACCACAACAACTGTTACAGGTAATCGGGATGAGATTCTATTGTTCAGGGACCCCCCCCCCATCCCCACTGTATCCATGTTTCTCCCTGAATGCCATTGAGCCCTTGCAGATAGCAGACGGCTCTGCCAAAGGAGACAGCTGACCAGGTTAAGTTTGAGGAAGTGCCTCATGCCCTCTTTCCTCTTGAGGCAGAAGAGCGCTCTTGCCAGTTGCTGCTTTACTTGAAAACCAATTTCTCCTGCCATGTTTCTGAAACCGAATCCTCCATGATCTGTCCTCAGGAGGAACTTCAGTAGTTTCCCAGTGCTTCACAGGTGAGAGGTCCTCCTTTCCCTCACCCCTGAGCTTGCCACTTGCTCACATTGTAACCCTTTAAAAGCTCTGAGGCGGAATTCTGCTTATGGTGCCATTAAGCAGAAGCATTCTCCCCTTTACAAAGGCTTGAGTGGATTTTTCACTAGGAGGGTGGTGAAGCACTGGAATGGGTTACCTAGGGAGGTGGTGGAATCTCCATCCTTAGAGGTTTTTAAGGCTTGGCTTGACAAAGCCCTGGTTGGTTTTGGTCCTGCTTTGAGCAGGGGGTTGGACTAGATGACCTCCTGAGAGCTCTTCTAACCCTAATAGTCTATGATTCTATGATTTAGAAAACACACAAATGATTGAGTCTTTCCCCCTGAAGCTCTGCCATTCCAGTCAATCCTCACCGTGCAATTCTCCTTGCTATTGCAGTCCTGGTCCCTCACACAACTCTCACTAAACCTCACTCTTGTCCTACAGCAACCACGGGCATTCCAGTCCTGGAAACCACATTCAGTCTTGCCAATGCATCTGACTCCTAACATGCAGCCTTCCCCTTGCTGTTCTAGTTAGCGCTGGGCTATCCTTGAACAGAAACTGTCAATCCTATTAAATTGTACCAAGTTGTCTGGTAGTCTTGTGAAGTGCGCAGGTGGGAAAGAATGTGAGAGCCAAGTCATTATCACATTAGATGCTTCCAGCATTTGGAACAGTGTCTCCAGCGGTGAAAGGCTCGTGCAGCCCCAGAAAGCTGCCCACTCACCAATCAGAACACCTTTTATCTTGATGCAACGTTTATCTGTCAGCACGGTATCCAGATGAATTGTACTAAGTGGGAAGAACTGGGGCGTTGCGTTTATATCCAGACAAGTCCCTCCTACTCTGTCAGTTAAACTACTTTTTAAACTGGGCTTCCTTGTCTTTAAATATATTAGAATTTGTTTGTTGTTACTGTGGCCCCTGTAGGTTTGCATGGTGATTCTCTAAAAGCTAAAGACATGGGCTGTGCTGTGTCCTGAGGAGCTTTCACTCCGGTGCCGCAGTCTCTTCTCCCCTTAAGATTAGGTTCATTGCCAGTTGTGGTGGCGTGGACACCTGTCCAGTGAGAACTGGACTGAGAGGCCCCCCATCTCATTTGAGGGGAAGAAGGATGGCAGAGGAAGGAACAAAGGATTTGTGTTTGAGGCATGGCACAGGAAGACCTGGGTTATTTTCCTGGCTCTGCTGCTGACCTACTGTGTGACCTTGGTAACACAGGCAATCTATCTGTGTGTCCATTTCCCTACCTGCAAAATGGAGATAATGACAATTACCTACCTCACAGCAAGGTTGTAAAGAACTTTGATAGCCTCAGATGGAAGGTGCCTTTGAAGTAGAAAGTGATAGTGGTGTTCCATACAAGCCATTTAACCATCTAGCCATCAAATAGTAACAACATTCCTTTACTGCTGAGCTGTGCTAGATGAATAGCTCTTTATTTTGGTGCCAGTCCTTCATACCATCCTCTTCCCTAGGTAGTTCTATTTCTCATGGGTCTGTCCTACATTCTGCAAGCCTGGGGCTTATGTAGGAACAAACAGTCAATTTCACTGCTCTACAGCCAAAATGCTTCTGAAATAAATGTAGTCAAACTTTACTAATTCTGGGTCACTGAGAACAAAAATGATGCTTAAAATTGTTGACTGGCTCTAGTTTTCAAGATATGCTCTTGGGTCAGTATATACGACCCTTGACTTGGGAATGGCGCAGGATAAGTGAGTTATAAAGGGAAGGGATCTCAATTTAAACCAGAAATGACTAAAATACATCTTTGACTGGATCTATGAATAAATCTATGACTGGGTTTGGACAGTACTTGCTTTTTAGGCAAAACAATGAATGATGCAATCTGAAACTGGTATTGCGTCATACGTGATATGAATTGCATCATGTTATTCCTAGAAGTCATGGATGATGCAATCATAACGAAGCTTACATCACTCTGCTGAACAAATTGCCCTATATCAGCTCTAGAAATCATACAGTGTTGTGCTCTCTTATTTGTCAGTGTTTGATTTTGC